GGAAACATTAAAAGAAAATGGAAAGAGTACATAGAGTCATTATACCAAAAGGAATCAGAGGACACAGAAGAAATTCATGAAACAACTTATGAGCAAGAGCCTATGGTGATGAAGGAAGAAGTTCAAGTTACTCTGAAAGGTTTGGCTAAAAACAAGACCCCAGGAATTGATGGCATACAAATTGACATATTTCAACAAACAGACACTGTCCTGGATGTGCTCACTAAGTTGTGCCAAGAAATCTGGAGGACAACCACCTGGCCAACTGACTGGAAGAGATCAATATTTATTCCCATTCCAAAGAGAGGTGATCCTACAGAGTGTGGAAATTATCAAACAGTATCATTGATAACACATGCAAGCAAGATTCTGCTGAAGATTATCCAAAAATGACTGGAACAGCACATCAACAGAGAATTGCCTGAAGTGCAGGCTGAGTTTAGAAGAGGCTATGGTACTAGGGATATTATAACTAATGTCATATGGATCTTTGTTGAAAGTACAGAGTACCAAAGAAATGCCTATATGTGTTTCATTGACTATATACAAAGATATTTGACTGTATAGATCACAGCAAATTGTGACTAACTCTGAGAAGAAAGGGAATCCCAGAACACTTGATTGTGCTTAAGCAAAACCTATATTTGAACCAGGAGGCAATCATCAGAACAGAGTAAAGACACACTGCATGGTTCGAACTTGGGAAGGGTGTGAGTCAAAGATGTGTCCTATCCCCATATCTTTTTAATCTATATGTGGAACAGATTATCTAGAGGCTGGGTTCTATGAAGAGAAATGTGGCATCAGGATTGGAGGTAGACTCATCAACAATCTGCATTATGCAGATGACAAAACACTGCTTGCTGAGACTGAGAACGACCTGAAGAGAGGCAAGGACTGCAGCCTTCAATTTGGATTGAGACTTAAAATAAAAAAAATAAAGATTCTCACCACTGGAATGATTGGCAGCACCATGATAGATGGTGAAGAAATTTAAATTGTTAACAGCTTCAGTTTGCTTAGCTCTACAATCAACACTCTTGGTACCAGCAGCCAGGAAAATAAAAGGTGATTTGCATTGGGAAAGTGGGGTGTCAGAGATCTCACCAAAGTACTGAAGAGCAATGATGACAATCTGGAGACTATAGTGTGCCTGATACAGGCCATGGTCTTTGCAATTACTTGAGAGCTGGACAATGACTAGAGATTATAGAAGAAGAATTGATGCCTTTGAGCTGTGATGTTGAAGAAGAGTATTGAATATAGCATGGACTGCTAGGAGAACAAATAAGTTCTTCCTCGAGAGGGTGAAACCAAGCTGCTCCCTGGAGGCAAGGATTCTGAAGCTTCGTCTGACATACTTTGGACATGTTGCAAGGCAGGATCAATCCTAGGAGAGGGTCATCATGCTTGAGAGGGTGGAGGTACAATGAAGGAAGGAAGACCCTCGATATGATGGATTGATTCAATGACTGGGGTAATGGGGGTAGGTGTATCAGAGACAATGAGATTGACACAGGATAGAGTAGGGTTTAGGGCTATTGTACATATGGTGGCTATGAGTCACAGGCAATTTGACAGCACATAGCAACAACAACAAATCACATGGGAGGAGACTGCTCATCTTTCTGCAGACTTGGTGGGGGATTTGAACCGCATGCTTTTGCAATTGTAGTGCACCTTTTTACCACTAGGTAATGTCACACTTCCAAGTTTCTTAGAGCCCAGGTCAAAGAGGAAGACAAACAGTTGTAGAATCTCTGTTGTCTGTATAAGTTGTGGAAAAGCAGTTTTCCCAGGACTACTGTCTGAAGTGAACTCCCTCATAGCTTCTCAGAAAGCTGAGGTACATTGTTGACTTTGTGTGCACTCAAACTGGCCTCTGCTACATTGGAATGCCCTGGCACATGCTTGCCTCAGAGCTGTCCAGCTTCCCTCCCCAGGGAGTCACCAGACTCATCTTCCTTAATTCTCACCTCTGCTACTCTTGCAAGGAAGGGTACTTCTTACTGCACCATGGAAAAGGCTTCGAGCCTCTCTCACCACCTCTCCTCCCTTGGTTGATTTTTCTGCATTGCATTTTATCACCTCACACCATTGTGAATTTATTTATCTGTTCATCTTCTGGATTCATCCTTGAGAATATAGTCTCCAGGAATCTGTAGACTATATTAGTCTTTTCCTTGACTGTAAACTCTGAATTTAAGTGCAGGAACAGAGTAAACAGAATGTTTAACTCAGTAAATATTTGATGAATTAATAAATGAGACTTCAACTCAGCAGCCTACCTCCACAAAATACCAACTCAATCTCAAAAATTGTTCCTTCTAGATGACTTCAGGTGAGTCAAGAGCAAACTGATAGTAAATAGTGAATCTGTGTGGCTCTAAGCATTGTAATGTCCTCAAGAATTTTCAGAGATGCTCATTCTCAACGGGCCTTCTTCTATCATAGCAGCCAAGCTGTGCCACCGACAGCTAGGTGAGAGAGAGGAGAGCCTAGAAAGGGACAAAACCAGCAGGCTACAAGGGTTTCTGTAAGAAGAGTGCCCACGGCCAGACACCTGCCTTTCCGCTTAGATTTGCTGCATCTCCTGAAATCAGCCTGGCCTGGTGAAGGAGTGGAGGCTCCAGTGTGAAGCAAAGGAAGTGGAACAGAGTCTGCCGGCTAGAACAACATTGGTCAGAGTCAGGGTCAAGTGCATAAGCACATGCGGGGATACATAAATCTCTAGGTGGTCTGCTATAACTCTACTAATGACCTTCCCTTAGGCAGAGAAGAGTGTAAGGTAAAATATAATTTTGAAAACGTTTTCCATTTCTAAGCACTTGTAATTTCCTGAGTTCTCCTCTGTATGCTAATACATAGATAGTCCTAGGTGTGTGTTCAAGAAATGGAGACCAAGAAATCCTGTGACTCATCTGAGACAGTGCTTACAGCTCTGAGAAGGACAAGTTCACACTTTCTCTGACTCACTGCAAATCTTTACTGGGCGTTATATTCTCTTTTCTTACGAAACAGTTAGTAAATCTTTCTATGTGGCTACTAAAACATATAATGTACCTGTCAATCAGTTATTGAGCTAAATAAATGCTATATCTGACAATGAGGATGCAAACTTAATCAGCATGCAAGCTTTTTCCTCCCTTTTGAACACCAACTTGGCATTCAAGCCCAAACAAGCTCATTTCCTCTTGTCTATGTTTGGGCTCTTTCTTCAGATACCCTGAAGCATTCTGTGCCTAACTCTAGGAAAGGAGAAAGTCTCCTGTCTTTCCCAGACTTCCTAGGTATGTGTGGGCACTTATTGACTTCTTAATTCTTCTCAACATCCAGTGGCAAATTGTCCTGGAGTCAGATCAAGGACAGCATCACCCTTCACATGGTGAAGCAAGTGAGATTGGGGTCAACATCACTTTCCAATGCTCTGGTGGCCTAGTGGCAAGAAGCTGTGCGGCAATCTTAAAGACTTGCAGTTTGAGACCACCAACTGCTCCATGGAAGAAGGATGGACGATTTCCTTCTGTATGATTACAGCCACCACAGGGTCAGCTATGGGTTGGTTCCAGTTTCACAGTACACAACATCACTTTCAAAGCCATGTGTGCTGAGAGCTCAGATTTTCTTCTTCCATGGTTATATACTTTTTTTCTTTGTAGAGGTAAATTTCTCAAAGTCCAATGCGTATTGCCTATATCTGCTCAATTAAGTCTGCCTTTGACTGTAAGTCGATGACCTCAACATTAGGAGGATACTTTCTACAAACAGCTACAGTCTCATATGTCCTTTCAAAACCTTTCTGTTTCCTCATGAAGAGGTAGAATTTTCCTGTTCTTGAATCTGAGCATTACTTCGAGCCTTTCATGAAAAGTGGAGTGGAGTAAAAGTGATGCTCCGTGGTACTGAAATGGGGTCAAAAGAAGTAAAATGGCCCTTACTATCAGAACAACAGTGCTTGAGACCTGGTCACCAAGCCCTAAGGAAGTCCAGATGCTGTAGCTGACAATTCCAGCAAAGACCTTAATCAAAACTACCAGATATGTGAATGAACCTTCAGGTGATCCCAGCTCCCTATGCCTGAGACTTCAAACAAACTATGGCAAAGATAAGCCAGCCAAACTTCTGACCACAAAGCCTATGGTCACAGTAAATCACTGAACTGTAGGGTGACTCAATATGTAGTTGCAAGGACATGGAAGAGAAACTCCCCAAACTTGTACCCACTCAGTTCAAATAGCTCATCACATTTCTTCTCATGAGTTCCACTTTCTCTTGCTGGCCTTACACACTTAATTCCTGTTGAGCTTTGGACTAGATGCCACTTAACACAGTGATTCACAAGGAAACTGGGAATAAGATTTTTTTTTTTATGCCACAGGAGCACTTAAAATTCACTGACCTTCAGTCACAGCCTCCAGTGACCCTCCAGTGGGTTTTCAACACTGTGAAATCAGACAGGAAGAGATTGTCCCTCTTTCTCCCTTGGAGCCAATGGAGGATTCGAACCACCAGAATGCAGCCTTTGGGCTAGTAGTAAAACTCCCTGCAGACTGCTTCACTAGAGTTCCCTGAAGGAATGGAGTCCATATTTATTTTGGGGTCTCTGTGAACACTTAAGGGTTTGGCTGCCAACAAAAACATTGGTAGTTTATGTCCCTCTGGAAGCAGCTAGGAAAAAAGTTCTGACAATCTATTTCTGGAATATCAGTCACTGAAAACCCAATTGAAAACAGTTCTACCCTGAACTCCAGAAGGGGTCTCCACGAATCAAAATTAACTCAGTGGCAACTGCTTTTCTTTTTGTTTTGTTCACGTCATTTGAAGTCATACTGCAATCTGGTTTCCCTGTATATAACTTCAAACTGGGAGACCACCTTAGTATACATTCATGTTAAAAAAAGCAAGGGATTAAATTGTAGCCAGTGAGAGCAGAGAGCAAATACAACCCCTAGGAGCAAACCTGATAGCTGAGCTCCTCTGAGGGAAGGATCTGAACTCACCTCTGCCTTGCATTCAGGGCCCTTGACTAGCCGACCAGGCATCAGTTTCATAGCTGAAGACAGGCTTTCACTCCAGGAAGTGACTTTGCTGTGGTAAGTGACATTTGAGCGACTAGCCAGGGTCTTCTTCTCAGATGCTGTAGAAAAGGAGGAAAGAATATTAGGGGGTGACAGAAGGAGGAGCACACACTCAAGGCTTCCAGCTGGCCTGGCGTTCACAGGGCCAGCCCAGGGTGTGAGCTAAGCATACCTCCCTCCAACAAGCAAGATAACCTGCATCACAAGTACCATTTCCAAAGTTCCCTACTCTGAATAACGTGGTGACTTTGGAATCATCCAAAGTTGGAATAAACCCACGCTTCGAAGTTTGTTTGCCAGCAGCCAAATATTGAACAGATTTGGGAAAGCTCTTGAGGTTCAGCTTTCTCATTCTACAAAATAGAAGAAATATCAATTCAGCTCATTGAGGTGTCATGAAGATAACATAGGACTTGAATTTAAAGGTCATAAAATGTAGAGATTGTTCAAAATATATGATCATTGACAAAAGGAGACCCACTTACAAGCTTATATTCTTTTATTCAGAGCTATATATGAGTTGGAGTCATCTTGATGGCACATAACAACATAAATATATCTACCTAGCTGTTCAATCTACCCAACTTAACTTTCCCATGGAATGGAATTGATATTATTTCTACTTCAAATTACACATACATATATGCATGCATACATGGATGAACATATCTGTTATAGCTAATTGGAAAGACAAATAAGTTAAGCTTCGGAACACTGGACATGGCACAATAGACATAGAAATAATCACTGTGACCTCAGTGATGCTAAAAGACATAAGTATACAAATCTCAATTTAGACAGTAACAACATTCTTAAAGACAAAATTAAAACTTCATTGCTTTCTCTAATATAAGGGTGTAAATGGTGAATCACTATGTGATTCAAGCAACAGTGGTATTTCTGGAATGTAAACTTTCATTTAAGAGATGAGGTACCCAAAGCTCAGGTCACCACATGACCTGGTGCAAAGTTCCAATTCTGATAGCTGATCATCAGGGCAGGTATTAGAAATCCAAGCTTCAGTGTCTAGACCAGAATCTTGCCCTTCTTCTAAGCAATTACTTGGATATATTTAGTTGGGGTTAAGTCTTCCTTTCAACCTAGATGAAAAGTGATATGTGTTGTTTGTGAGAAAAGATATTGGGAGAGACAGTAATGCAAATCTCACACATAGAATGGATAAGCTATCTGGTTGAAAAAGACCCCAAGCCCCAAGCAAAGTGTTGTGGGTCATTGTCGTATAAGAACCAGGAGTTCTTATTTCCTAGAACCTAATGAGCAGAGACCTAAGTAATGCTGCCAGGCCTTGAGCATGTTCTCCTCCCAGAGTGGAGTGATCTCTTCAATCTTCACTTCACTTTCTCCAGGCTTCACAGAAAGATCTGTCTTAAAGACATCCTCCAGCACCTGCCGCCTCTGTGCCACAAGCTTTTGCCAGAGAGTTCGTACCATTCTCTGAATGTTGTGTTGTACTGGAGGAGAAAAGACATTGAATAATCAGGGTGGTCTCAGATTTTCTTTCAGGGAAGGTAATAGGATGAGGGTCACAGATACTTTAATAGACATTTATATCTTAAAGTTTATCCAGTATCACAAACTCTGACCAGAAGGCAACTTTTAAATAGTCCTGGGACTAATAGCAACTGTCAACCTTGCAGATCCCTCCCTTGCCTTTTACCTCTAGCTCTGATAGACATCTCCAAGCCATTTATTGCAGCCTTCTTTTTCATATCACTGCATGGCTATGCCTGAGTCTTTAGAATCCTAGCAATTCATCTTGCTCTATACCACACTTCCCATCACCACCCATCTAGGAGACACAGATTTACCCAGATAATGTCAGACCAAGCCATTTCTGCCCGATATTCCCCATATGCATAACTCACCAATGAACACATAACTCTGTCTGATCTATGACTACTGAGTCCTTTCTCTGATGCCAGCCTGTTGTGTGGTTTTGTCACTAGCTAAATGGACATTGCTCAATGCAGATCTGTTGGTCTACTCTCAAGAGTGTGTGTTCATATTGTTACTGTGTCCAGATAGATACACTTTTAAGTCTTAATCATTTTGAGCACTGGCTTTGAGAATCAATGTGATCTAAACTCAATGTCCCTTGTGCCTAAATCTTATGTCACAAGATTACAAAGTGGAATACTCTGCAAACCAAAGAGACAGATGAGGGTCTAGTTGGACTTTCTGGATCAAGAGAGCAACTTTTCATACACATGGAACTAGCTACTTTCCTTCAACACTGACACTTCTTTTCACTTGATTTGAGATTTATAAATTCAAGGATAAACTCTGTCAAAACTGAAAAATCTCAAAGAAAGCAAAATGCTTATTTCTCCTGAATAGTATTTCCTTATTTCTAGGAAGAATACTGAGAGATAACAAGGTACTGGCGTTACCCAAGTTAGGGAGCGTCCCAGTTTCTGTGTCTGCTAGTTCAGAGAAAAATTCCAGAGATAAATTTGTAGTGAAGGCCTCTGGGATTCAGGAACGACCTCCAGTCCTGAACCTATAAGTTTATTCCTCTTTTATCTATGCAGCCATCTTTCTCATTCCATTTATACTATGCAACTAATGCTTGAATTGTGATCTCTACTGGCTTACTTTACTGTACTTGTACATTTATCTGGATTTTCTTAGAAATTACCTTTATCCACCTACTTTCTATTAATTAAAAACAAATAAAATGTACCATCACTCAAACTTGGGAAATCTTCCCCTCTTTTTCCTCCCACTTCTTCATTTGGAGAAAGAAAGACTTGATAAGGAGTCATCCTAGGCTTGAGTTCTAAGCCAAATCCTTCTGGATAGCTGGAGAAAAATAGATTGATTGTTATAAATTTTAGTCACATTGTGACCATTCTATTGTTCTATATTGTTCTTTATATGTACCTCCCAAACTCAGTACATAGCAATATGAAAAATATTATTTGGTTAAAACTAATAGCATCTTCCCATACACTAGCTAAACTACTATTGCTACTAATAAACTAATAACATTAATAACAACTTCTACTATGGTTGTTATGCAAAATTATTTTGGAAAATGGAAGAAATACCTTCTTTATGCTTGACATAATAAATCCTACTCCTTACTCTCAATGGCTTCCTGAGTTCTCTCTTGGTCTCTCTACTGTCAAAACCTGTCATTTGCATGGACCAAAATGTTGAATCATGCCTTCAATTGACACCAATTTCATCCTGCCGTGAATAGGACCAGAGATGATTTTATAGATGTGTGCCTTTCTCATTTCCACAAGGCCCAACTTCAAAATGGCCATATTCTCTGTTTAATGACCTACTGTCACCATCTTAAAATTCTCAATAAACTTTTAACCACAGTTCACATTTCAATTCTGTCAAGAACTCCACATTTCATGTATCTAGCTCTAAGAGTGGTTTAGCAGTTTACACAGCCAACACCTCATATACTATGCACTCTTGGAGCCCAACGTGTATTAATCTCCATGCATCTCCTCCCTGGAGACTCCTTCAACTTAATGAGCAAAGTAGGCACAATGCAATGGAAAAGACAAACATGGGGATAAAAAGGGCAAACGTGGAATGAAAAATATCAGCACATGCTAATGTCATCTTGAAATGTCTAGAATAGAGTTGCATCACATTCACATTTTAGATTTGGAATTATGCTACTAAATTGTTGTTGTTATGTGCTATCAAGTCAGAACCAACTCATAGATGACCTTCCAGGGAGTTTTCAGAGGCTGTAAGTTTCACTGGAAGAGACTGCTCAGCTTTCTCCCGAGGAGCAACTGGTGGGTTTAAACCATGTACCTTTGGATTAGCAGTATGACTCTGTATCCACTAGGCCACCTGAGCCCTCTAAATGGATAAATACAATAGTGGCAAGAAGCTGCACTGTAATCCCAAATGAGTTAGGTTTTAGTTCCCCAGCTGCTCTGCAAAAGGAGAATGGGCAATCTCCTCCCCTGTAATTAACTGCCTCTGAAAACACACTGGAGGGTCACTTAAGGACTGGTTCAAACTCAGTGGCACACAACAACAATAATTGGTAAAAGTCACTAAATAGCTACACAGAATCTGAAAAGGATGCAATTTTAAGAACATAAATTAATTGTCATGCCAAATGTCTACTTGTGTTGCTGTTATATTGTCAGTTGCCTTTAAGTAGATTGTGAATCATGATGTGCACAGAGTAGAATTGTTATCAGAGGTTGTCAAGGCTATGACCTCTTTTTTACATTTACTTCTCACTTTAATAGACTAGACAATGGCAAGATTGCTATATCACTGCTTGGGTAATCACAAAGCTTATGGTCAAAGTCTGTTAATCTGTGGCCATTTCTAGGGCTGGCCTAGGTGAGTGAAACAGAAGCCTTTCTTCATGCCAAGCATCTCTGCTTATTTTTTTTTAAAAGCAGATTGCCACATCTTACTTTCAAGACACTTCTAAGGTGGGTTTGAAGCACTAATTTTCAGTAACCTGGCACTTAGTCATTTGTGCCACTAATTTTTTTTAAACATAGGGACCTAAACAATTCCCCGAGTTAAATTACACACTGAAAATAGATTCTTCTATTTCAAACAAATAAGTAAAAAGGGTAAGTTCTTCTTCAAGGCTGTGGTTATTTCCCAACGGTTCCAGGGAGCAATAAGATATGTTACAGCAGTGTTTTGTAATAGTCAATGTTCAATGGAATTTTGGCATGTCAAGTGATCATTCATTAATCATTTGAACTGGAATTTATTAAGATAAAATACAAGGGCAAAGTATAGTAGCACCTAGTCCTTCCCCTGTCCCCTTCAACATGGCTTATGAGTACAATAAAAGAGATATAGCATTGTGAGTCCAAGATGCTAAGTGAATGTGTGTCATATAACACTACCACAAAAGAAATTGGCACAAAAGAGAGAAATGTAGCATGTTTTATATTTCAAAAAACTTTATATTTCAAAACAATATTCATCAATTTAAGGGATCTTTATTATTGTTCATTAGGCAAGTGTACTTAGGAGGACATTTAATATCATATCCTGTAAAATTTATGAAGGCAAAAACCTGTGTAAAGCATAAGCCTATCAGGGATTGAAAACTTAACGAGAGAGAGAGAGAGAGAGAGAGAGAGAGAGAGAGAGAGAAAAGAAGAAGGAGGAGGAGGGAGAGAAAGAGAGAGAAGAGTGATAGGCTGAATACTATCAAAGGCATAAAACTTACAAGACATGGAAAAACAAGGCAATTTCTTCAAAGTCTGGCTCTCACAAATTCCCTACTGTGTGTGTGTCTTTTCTGTATGTAAAATTAATCCTAGCTCACATGATAAAATTTAATATTACATATTCTGTCATTATATATCAGTCTATTAATGAGAATAACTACAATACAAAAGGAAGAATAAGAAACATAGTCATAAAAACTCTAAAAGGAGAAGTTAAGATCACAAGAACCATTTTCAACTTGGGAATAAAATTGAACTTACAGTTTTACTCTAGGAAAATTATTTACACTTTTCATCAAAATGAAAATGATAAAAATTATAAATACTTAGAAATCAGTAATAAAGGAGTGATAAGTAAAAGGGGTAGCCATCAATTTTATTTGAAAAGAAAAAGTATAAGCATAGCAGGTCAGCAAAAGAGAGGAAGAACCAATGAGATGAATAACACAGTGACTGCAATGGGCTCAAGTGTATCAGAAATGAGATGGTGAGGATTGCATAGTCCACCAGTTGCTCTACAGGAGAAAGAGGAGCAATCTCCTCCCATGAAATTTAGTGTCTTTAAAATAACCCTACAGTTTTCAATGATGAATTGGTTTCAAGCCAACAATAACAGCAAACAACTTAGCCAAAGTGTATAAGATGATGTTTCATCATCCTTGCTTCTAAGGAGCACCACAGCTTGAACTTTCTCCAAGACATACGGGTTGGTTCTTTGGACAGTCTGTGGCATATTTCATACTCTCCTCCACAGTTCAAAGGCACTGATTCTTCTTCTTTCATCCTTATTCATTGTACAACTCTCAGATGTATAACAAGTTATTGAAAAGATTCATGGCTTGAATCAAGTGCATCTTCGTCTTTTAACTGACATGATTGCTCCTTGGCACTTTGTAAAGATCCTTGACAGCCGACTTTCTCATTGCAATAATTCATCTTTTGATTTCTTGACTAATACCAAGGATGTTGATTGTGGATCCAAATATGATGAAACTGTTGACAGTTTCAACCTTTTCTCCACCTATCATGATGTTGCCTATCAGTCCAGTGGTGATGATTTCTGGGTTTTTTTAAATGTTAAGATATAACTCACATTGAAGGTGAATTATAACAACAAGTGCTTTACATCCTCCTCACATGCAACAAGTAAGGTTGTGTTATCTTCATAACTCAGGTTTGATGAGTTTTCCTTAGGTCTTGATGCTTCATTACTTTTTCATAAAGGGCAGCTTCTTGAATTTGTTCAGCACATAAATTGAATAGATATGGAAAAAAGAGACAGCCATGACAAACATCTTTCTCAATTCTAAACCATTCAATGTTACCTTGTTCTATTTGGACAATCGCTTCTAAGACTCAGTATAGATTTTGCATAACCACAACCAACTATTCTGGAGTTCTGATTCTTCTCAATGTTAGTAATAATTTATCATAATCCACACAGTCAAATGTCTTTACGTATTAGAAGTAAATCCAAACAGCAGAGATAATCATCTTACCTTGGTAACAACAGCAATGTTAGTAAAGAACAAACAATAAATGTTGATAAGGGTATGGAGAGATCGTGACTCTCATATACTCCACTGATGGAAATGTAAAATGATGCAGTTGCTATAGCAAGTGATTTGGCACTTCTTGAGAAAGTTAGAAATAGAAATATAATTTGATCCAGCCATCCCAGCTGTCCTGAAGAAATAAGAACTATGACAACCAGCCTTCACACATCCATGTTTATTGCAGGATTACTTTTTTACCATAGTAAAATATTTGAAGCAACCCAAGTGTCCATTTTAGTACATGCACATAATGAAGCATTATGCAACATTTTAAAATAATGAAGGATTCAAAAAACCATGCATAATATGGATGTATCTAGAGGGCCTATGATAAGCAAAATTTCAGTTACAAAAGGACTAATATTGTGTAAGATCACCATTGTGAAAGGCTTATAAGCATATAGAGCTAATTTTATTTAATTACCAAGGACAATAAGGAAGGGAGAGAGGAGTATAAAGTAATGAACAGATAAGCTGGTTGAGGGAAGTGCAATCTACAATATGTTGATCAATTCAACTCAATTAAATCCATTGCTGTAACATCAGAATTGACTCAAAGCTGATCCTCCAGCAGGTTTTCAGAGGCCAAAAATCACATGGGAAGAAACTGTCTATCTTTTTTTCTGTGGTGCAACTGATTAATTCAAACCACCAGCCTCTCAGTTGGCAGCACAACTCCGTATCTACAATCCTACCATTGTTAGTAATTAATTCTATTAGTATATTGTTATTAATGTTCTAAAAATGTGTACAAATGATGGAATGAGAATGTATTTTTGATGCTACAAAATAAAATATGTATGAATGATCCAATGAAAACCCTGCATGTTTTGTAAACTTTTCTGCAAATTAAAAAAAAATTAAACTATTTCCTTTATCAAATGTTAAGGTTTCTGAAATCTAGTTTTATTTATTGATTATTAAATTAATATGTGCACTTAATATTGGAATATTTCTGCCTCAAAAATTTAATCAATGAAATACCTTACAATCAGTAGTACCTTGGATTGTAGAAACAGGGTAGTAATCATTTCATGATAATTCCACTTGCTTTGCTCCATAATTTAAATAATTAGATAAATACAATGACTATATCATTTTATGTGTACCTCCACCAGTGCTTTTCTAAAGTTTGCTTATTTTATGTTGACCATTACTAAGTAAGGAACAAGCAGTTGACTCTTACCTTCCCGAGCTGAGCAGCAAAAGGCAATGCATGAGACAGAGAAGGAAGCTAACATTGGAATTGTAAGTGGCAAAGACAATATCCCAGTGATTCTGCAGAAAGTCAAGGATGCTGAGGAGGCTGAGGCACTCAGAGAGGGACTGCTGGGGCTTGGAAAGGCAGTGCAGGATGACTTTATTCAAACTGCTATACAAAGTACTGAGGATGGCTTCCTTTGAAGGTGAGGCATTCTCAATGGCCTAGGTTGTAAAAAGAAGACACATACTTAGAAGTTCTTGGAACAGTTTGTGACTTCAATATTGACACAGTGAAATGTAAGATGATATGATAAACAGGGACATATTTTTACAATTCAAAGGGACTAGTTTCTCCTACTCTTAGAGAAACAAAATTCACTGCCCTGGCGTCCATTCCAACTGACAGGGACACTGCAGAGCAGGGTAGACCTCCCCGAGGGGCTTCTAGGAAGTAAATCTTTACCAAAGCCTCTTCTTTCTCCAGTGATGAGGTGGTGGATTTGAACTATTGCTCTTTTGGTTAGTTATGCAATGTGCAACCCATGGTGCCACCAGGGTGCCTTCTTCTACCCTTATTTTAACCACGCAAATTATCAACAAAACAATCCAAACATTTCCATTATTATTTTTTTAATCCCCAAAATGCAAACAAAACAAAAACCCAAACAAGACTTATGTAAAAAATATGACAAAATATGTGCATATTTACCAACCTCATAAAAAGGAAAATGAGCCTGGGGATTAGAGATTTAAGGAATACAGGAAATATGGTTGAGACACACTATTTTACTGTACAATTTTTAAAAGGGGGTAGGGG